GCTTGCTTTACTAACCTGTCCGAACATTTATGTGTCAGCAACATAGCCCTCAGAAGAGCTGTTTTTTAGCCACCACATTGGTTTAAAATATTTTTTAAACCATATTTAAAGTGACGTCATGAATTAATAGATGGCAAAAATAGGGTGGTTTAAAAATATAACCTGCTAACTGTCATATGACTATGAAGACTAGTCTTCATACATATGATGACAAAATTTGAAATATTGATTTCGATCGTAATATTTTTTGATGGATTACCGGTTGAAATAAGTTGTAGAAAAGAGAAGCGAAGTTGATTAAAAAAATGAATTGAATTTTTTTATAATTGTTAAATCAGATGAAGGAAGATGAGTTTGTTTGATAGCGATTTTAATTAAAAATTGGAGTGTTATTAATAAATTGCAATCTGAAACGTTGTTCATAGTTTTATTTTTGATATATTTCTTGCCCATAAACATGGCATATATTTATTCCGTAGCTCCAACAAATACGCAATTGTCTGACGATCCTCTGCTGTAATTTTTTTTTGGGCTTTTCCAAAGTTCATCAATTAGAACGTCTTGTGCCAAAGAATGTTTAATTGCTTTTAAATATTTACTGGAAAATTCAGAATCTGAAGAGAAATTTACGTAATTATTTTTGCAAAAAACGTATAGGTAACTGATAATTCATCCTTTTACCACATTTCAATTGCATCATTGTTTCATAATCCAGAGTAACCTATAGGTAGATCACATCTTGTTTATAATGTTTACAACATATAACGATAAATATTAATATTATAACATAATGTATGAATATGAATCACATAATATATGTATGATAATAAAAATTAACAAAACGTCAAATATATCAAAATTTTCAAAGAATGGAACAGAGTAAAACAACATACAACAGCCAAAATCAGAATCTCTTATGTGTCAACCGTTATTGAACCATATGCCTCCGACTGGTTCAAAAATTCGAGCTTTGGTTTAAAATATTTCGTACGTGACGTCATAGTTGCATCGCTAAATTTTAAACGGTTTAAAAAAGTCGAAAATATTTTAAACCAAACACTCGCTAAAAAATACCTTAGGTCTAGATACCGCATCGTAAAAACATTTTGACCCCCCATATGATGGGCGCCATGATAAATAAATGTCAATAAATTTTAAGTTGGCACTACTGACAAGACAGAATCGGCGCAAGTTTAGACCATGCAAGTTTAGTAATAAGCGTAAGATCGGCGTTCGACGTATATAATCGATTTTATTATCTGTTGTGTTGTTTATTTTGTTCTTCTAGTAAAGGTTTTATTTAAAACATTATTTTTTAGTTTAGTCGTTTAGTGTTTTATTTTAATAAAAAACATTTGTGGTTTGGTGTTAAATTTTTACAGGATTTTCAAAATCTCTTTTTGTTTTGTACGTGAATGTAACAATGCATCTAACGGTAGAAGATACAAGGAAGGAATAACATTTCATGTGTAAGTTTTCACAAATATTTGTGTATTTACAAAATCAAATAATTTGTATGTTTTGTTGTAGCATACCAAAAAATGTTAGGAAAGAATAACTGATAGCCATAGGAAGACCATTGAATCATTTTGTGACTTTAGTATAAGCCCAGAAAATTTGGGGATACTAGCTGAAACGGCAAATGTGTTATTGGCTCCTTGTTAGTGACCTATTGTACAATTTTTCCAATACACGTTCCATGATCCTTTGAACTTGGCTGCACCGTACTGATGAAGACCAATAGTCAGAAAAACGTGTCGACCGTTACTTCTTTTTTACTTTTTTTTATTCGGAAAATGTCCACTATTACTACCTTGATACAATAATATTAGTTCCGTTCTAAGTAGGTACATATTATAGTTTGTATGTTTTATGCTTTATTTTATTATATGTAATAAATGATAGCAAATATACTTTTATAGTAAATTAATTGATTAAAGCAATATGTAAGAATAAGTTTATCTAAGGATTAAATTGTTAAAGCAATTTTTCATATCCATTGTTTATTAATTTGTTTCATTTAATTCTTTCTTATTGAGTAAGTTATTTCATATAAATATGCGATACTTGTAAAATGTAATATTTTCTTTTAAATAGGTATATATTATGTTTGTATAAAATATTGTTCAGTTAATAAAAACAGAAATATTTTGTCTTTTATTCAAAAGAAGTTTGTACATTTTTCAAAATATATTTACCTACCCCAAAAAAAGATTAATAAAACCAGTTAGTCATGTACACATTTTCTATATATATATATATAGAAGTACTTTTTAAATAACTTTCAATACATTTGAAATCTGTGGTTTTATTAAACTCAATGTAACAAATAATAATAGGTATTCTCAAAAATATTTAAAAATAAAATGGAGATGGGACTCTTGTATAATTTAGTGACTATTCGCCTATGGTTAGTGCACTGCTGTATGTCCCTGGGTTTTCTACATTAGAACAATACTGTTTCTCCACTCTAGCAGTATTTTTTGCATCTCAGATTATATTTATTAAAAAACCAAGGAATTGTTTTGGGCCTATTGCTGTGCCCTTTTCCAACATTCCCAAAGTTTTTTTTTTACTTTTTGCTGATTGGATCTCCGATAGCGACAACTCCATTTGTTGTTCCACTAGTTTTTTTATCAAATTTTTAAAATAACTTCTATATATTTATCTTTTGCAATGACTTTGCTTACCCGCTTCATAATTTCTTCCCTATGCCCCAATTTCTCTAACAGGTGAGATCTTATACTCGCTCTATTAAATCAAATTATCATTATAGTTTATTTGAAAATGCTTTTTATGGCAAAGGTCCATATTTTTATATAATTTTGCTATTATTCATTTTCAAATAAACTATAGGAATAGGAGTAATCTATTAGTTTTTCTAAAAATACCTTGTTACCGATGTAAGTATATCTTTCCCTAGTTAAAAAATTCGAGTTTTTATTTTCATAATATAATATAAATAAATGACCGGTTAACAATCACATTCTTTTAAATAGTACATTTGACATTGAAGTTGGTATTTTCTCCATATTGCCAAACAGGAACAGATGGTTTACTTGTAATTTGAATTATATTACATAAATCTCACTGAATTTCTCTATAATTCTCATAGCAATATGTACACAAACCACTTATCCAATAATATATAACCATGTAAAAATAACATTTCAAGAACGAGAAATTTTATAAAACCGGTCCTGTCTGAACAGATCTAGGAAAATCAAATAGGTTTGTCAAAGTTTTGTTCTTAATTTGAAATTAGAAATTGTGCGTCTCACTCACTTATAACTAATAACAAAGTGCAGATTATCGGTGTTCGCGTATTACAGAACACACAAACTAAAAATCAGTGTAGCCAAAACATAAATTTACCTAACATGGCGACAAGCTTGAATGGGGTCATTTTTTTGTATTGACAGTATACGCCAAGCGGTATCTAGACTTTCTGAGGGCTATGGTCAGCAAATATTGCATTTTTATCAACATTAGTTTAGTTTTATTAATCAATATTAGTTTATTTGAAAACAATTTCATAAATATGATGTAAACAATACATATTATGACTTATAAATGAAAAACATATGATATTGAATCCCTTAAGGAAATTTTCAAACTTTTTCGCAAAATCAGTTGATGTCCGAACATTTTTTCTCTTATAATGGGCTTTTATTGTCATTAAATTTACTTTTTCCGTATTAATTTCATCATGCATTTAATAATAATCTTATTTGGAAATATCTATTTAATCTAATGTTTTACCTTAAAAGCCTTTTATGTCCTTACATTTTACATGGGGTTTTAGGTTATATGAGATTTTAAATTTGCTCATAATTTAATAACAACATTGCTGTAACTTTTATTATTCCAGTTTTATCTAAGGATCCAATACTTTGTTTTTATTATTCATTCATTCATTATTATCGGAAATTAGGTCTAATATGTTATTTTTGGCTGTAAAGTTGCCTTATGGCGTTTCAATGTTAAATATTTTTGTTGAGATTTTGAAAGTTTATTTAATTATAAATTAACACAAATTGTTTGCGTTTGCATCCTTCTCTATCGTAGGTTGCACAACCCATGAATTTAGTTTTTCTTGAATTATGTACCATATCAATAAAACATTTTTTGGGGTAAGAACAACTTAGCGTATTAGTTTATATCCGCGGGTAGTTAGGTTACGGCATTTTTATAACATGGAGAATAATAATATTTTAAAAACTAATTTCTCGAGACTTTCGCTAACTGAAAATGCCATATTAAATTTTTGGGAAGGCCGGAAGGCCTACTCCCGATATAAAACTTACTGACGAAAGTTTTAAAGGTTTTTATATACAAGACGATTTTCAAGGCAAGTGTATAATAACAAGTGAATAAATGAGTGTGATACCTTGGACCCATTGTTTTCTTTTCCTTGTTTATTTACGTAAGTACCAAATATTTGAAAAAGTGCGTTTTCCCCGTATCATTGCATTCACTAGTTACAACAAAAACAACTACTACCTATCACCTAAAGAGCTTTGGTTAGTTTTTATATCTTCTTTCAAAAGTAGCCCCCGGTAGACTAGTCCACGAGCCGGCTCTGCTTAAATCTAACTTTAATAAAGCATTTCCTTGTAAGATATCAGGATGAACAAACTGCATTTTACCCAATCGAAGTTCCTCAGGAGAGCGTGCTAAGGCTAAAAATAAATCGGTAGGCACAAATCGAAAGGCAAAACTGTCACCTGTATGACTAAATTGAAAACAACTAGCACACCAATAACATTTTTGCTTGTTAATTAAAAATATCTATATTTACTATCGTGCTAGCTATTTTCAAGCAGTCCGGTTCTGATCATTGTTTATGTTATCGCCGTTCAGTTACCCGTCTATATATTTCTGCTACGAGAAGTTACTGGAAAGTGTTTTTGCACACGTGTTGACCAATGACATATATAATGTCGTTGGTGTTGACTCGTAGAGGATCGAAGGGTTTAGAGAACGTCTAGAGATTTCAGGACAGGTTCGGTACGCCTAATTTTATATATAGATAGAAGTTAAATTGAAGATAAATACCCAAGTAGTAAAGATAAATATTGTTAATATAAATTAGTTCTAAGTACAAATAAATTTAGTTAGCATTTTAGTAAAAATAATCTGATTTTAAATAAATAAACGGTACTTTATTACAATATTGATCATTTCGGTACTTATATTAGATATATACAACACACTCTTAATTAACACCAAGACTCGTCTAGAATACATTTCCCTTGGAACCATTTGTACAGCAATTGGTTTTCTGATGAATATTCATCAACGTTGATTCCTCTTAGAGCTTCTTCTTGTCTCTGAAATAAATAGAAACTTCAGAACAGGGAGTTCTTCCAATAAAAATACAAGGTACAAACAAGTTTAGAAAGTAATTTTTGATAAATAAATAAGAACTTTTCATGAAAACTATCGCTCAAAATGATCTGAAGGCCAGACCAGTTGTTTGAGAGGGAAACTTTTAGATAAACGAAGACTACCGGGAGTAAGGGCGGTGTATGTACACGCAGTTTTAATTATTTATTTTATATTTGTAGGGGTAACGTTCCCCAAGAAGGGTTAACTGTTTCTAAGCGCTGTTTTAGGAATAGTACTGTTAATTGGTCGAATGTATAATACCGATATATATTAATTATTAGCTGTCATAAAACTACAAAATGTTTTACCATTGGCGGTGGAAATATTCTTTTTGAATCGCCTCTTCGAAAGTGCTCCTTAACAGTTGCTACCAAATGGTTCCTAGTATCTGGAGAGATGCAAGGTTTACATAACTGACATTCCAGTGACATGCAGCTTGCACGACAAGCGTTACTGTTGCAAATATTCGGAAATACTGCAATCATTTTATCAGATACTAGCATTTCTTCTTCCGATTTTGACCTTAAATTAAAAAAAAAGCTATAACTTTAATCATTTATATCTTTTGGACATAACTATATATGGTAAATAGATATCAGGCAACCTCTTATTTATTAAATACCTTACAGCTAAGGAACTCCTATAAATGTTTTCTCCTACACCTACAAGTCCTAAAGTATTATATAAAACTTGTTGGTATAACAATTTATTTGGTGGAAAATGAGCTGAAGATAAATTAGGACTCATATTTGCCTCTAATAAGAAGATCTTGAGGTCTTCGTCTATTACGAAGTCAAATCTCATCAGTTCAAAGAAGTTCCTCTTTGATTTGAATCTACAAACATCATGAATATATCTATGAGTATATAGAGAACTACAATTGATAGTATATACCTTCTTAATGATTCCACAATTTGTGGTTCTTTGGCTAAAATCACTTTTCTTATGGCGTCTTCGATTTGCCGCCAAATTACGCTGGGATCTTGGTTTTTCGTGCTCAAGTAGGCGTTGAGACTGTCTCTCATACCTAAGCCCAATTGGTTGTAGAAGTAATCTAAGGCAGGAACTTCCCATATTGGTAAATAGTCGTCGCCAACTACGTACTTGTCCAAATTTTGAGGGTCGAAAGGATGGTATTTTACTGGACAGAATCTAAAAAGAACGTATATTAAAATGTATTAAAATCTTTTTGGATCTGCGTATTGAGATACTTCAAAACAGAATTTTCGAAGATAAATCAAAGTTTGTGTTGACTCTTTGAAGTATTCTTAAAATCTAAAATTGGAAAACCTGAGCTGTTACAATAGGAAAATCCGTTCCAGCCGATTATGTAATATAATTTATAATATGTTGAACTATAAGAGGTCAAAAACTGAACACCATGGAGGAAGGATAATTACTGAACACCTTACGACACACCAGAAATCAGACGGTGTCTAACTTTTGAAACCCGTAATTTTCTATAAAAAGGTAAGTTAACGAAGATTGTTTATATATAGAATGTTTTAGATTTGCCAGTATTCCTACAATGAGATTGAACACTCTAGTATCAAATATTTCTTTCTACTTTGATAAAGTGAATATGATAATGTGATTGTTGGTACTCCAAATTTTTTTTACCATATATTTTTTGCTATAATTATTTAAATTGATACATTTTACTTTTTTTTGCTATAATTATTTAAATGGTGAATAATCTTTACTCTAGAGCTAAAGGATTTGTTTAAATATATTTCGTTATTTCGTTTTTATTCGAATGCATAAAAAATTTTTTTTTTATTATTATTATTATTTCAATTTAGAAAATGATATGTTTTATTTCCCTTCGTTTTGTCTTTGAAAGACATGTATTCAGAATCATCTATATAATTAATAATTTGTGTTTGTACATATATATATTTTGTTTTGTTTTTATATTTTTGCTATGATAGTAATAATTAAAATTTAAATTGATGAATTCATTAATAATATTGCTATTCCAAGGTATTATTTAAAAATATTTGGTTTTATACACAATTTGGTTTTTTTTTTCTCAAATTTTTCTCTGTAATTATACTTTTATATAAGTAATACAACTGTTAATTTTATAAAAACGGGTTTTTTGTATTGTATTTAAAACTTTTTGATATACACTAGGTGCCAATATGATGAGAAACAATGCTTTTTCTCCCATCATAATACATTCTCAAATTTTTATTTATTCCTTTTTCTATTTTAAAATCCGTTTTTCTTTGAGCGGAGCATCAAAATACTATTGCGTAGCAGTCTCCGAGTGGACTAAATTTTTATCGAAATCCTTTATTTCCCTTCCTTTCTTGTTCTGTCTCCTTTTCTCCTTCTCTCTTAGCTAAACCACTTCCAAAACAGTAATCTCGCTATTCTAATAAATTGATAAGTACTAATTTATTTATTGATTTTCATAATTATGTTGTTGATACGAACTGTGACATTGTTGGGGTCACTGAAACCTGGCTAAACCCAGAAATAGACAGTAATTTGGTACATTTAAATGGTTATAAATTTATTAGACAAGATAGACTCACCAGAGGCGGAGGTGTTGGTATGTATATAAGGGAGCAACTAAGATGTAATTTAATTATTTCGGAATGTAATGATGTTATGGAATATTTATGGATTAAGGTTTGTGTGGCGGATTTAATAATAGCAGTAGGTACTGTATATAGGCTTAGAGATAAAGCCTTGCAAAAATTTCGCAGAACACAACTTCCAACGCATTGGGATTACTATAAACAATTAAGAAACTACACAACAACAGCTATAAAAGCAGAAAAAAGGGCTTACTTAAATTTTAAATTTCAATCTTGTTATATTAAGGAAAAATGGTCAGAATTAAAAAAACTCAATATATCGAGACAAAAAAAAATTGACCTACCTCCAAACCTAAAAGATGTTAATGCCATTAACAAATTTTTTACTTCAAATAGATTTACAACATTTTTACCTTAACAATTTTAAAGAAAATATTACTGAAGATTTTTATTTTAATGATGTTTCCGAAGATGTTGTCAATAATATTATTTACAATATCAAATCTAAAGCTTACGGAATGGATGATATTAATATTATCATTTTACACTTCTGTTGTCCATTTCTATTACCCATTATTACACACATTATTAATGAATGCTTAAAAAATAGTTATTTTCCTGAATCATGGAAATTCGCTAAAATTTTGCCCTTACCAAAAGTAACTTTACCTAAAGAATACAGTGATTTAAGATCAATTAGTATTTTACCAGTTTTTTCCAAAATATTAGAGAGAGTAATGGAAATTCAAATGAGAGGGTTTTTGAAAAACAACAATATATTACCTAGCAAACAATCTGGTTTTAGGTCAGGCTACAGCTGTGCCACAGCTCTAGCGGATGTTATAGATGATTTGATTAGAGCCATGGATAAGGACAAGATTTCTATCTTAATACTATTAGATTTCTCGAAAGCTTTCGATAATATAAATCATAAAATTTTACTTGCCATGTTGAAGTTTTTTAGATTTAATAATACATCTGTGTCTCTATTAAAATCATATCTTTACCAGCGAAAACAAATTGTTCAAATAGATAATATGTCTTCCACACCGTTGGAGATTACATCTGGTGTACCTCAAGGTAGTATTTTGGGCCCTTTATTATTTACTCTCTATACCTCACAATTTCCAAGTATACTTAAATACTGTAATTATCATTTATACGCTGATGACACCCAATTATACTATTCTTTTAAGTACTCCAATTTAAATGAATCTATACAGCATATTAATTCTGATTTAAATGAAATCTTTAATGTATCTAAAAATCATTCACTAAAAATTAATCCTAAAAAATCCAAAACAATGATTTTTTGTAATGAGTCAATTAGGGATTCCGTAAACTCCGCGACATTATTAAAAATTAATGACGCGTTTATCCCAATTGTTACGCAATGTAAAAACTTAGGACTTACTGTAGATTCAAAATTGAAGTTTGAACAACACATTACATCAAAATTAAAATTGTCTTATGCAAGTTTGAAACTAATATATGCGCAACGATATTTTTTATCACCAGATGTAAAAAAAATGTTATGTGATTCACTAGTTTTATCAAATTTTAATCATTGTGATATTGTATATTGTCCTTGTTTAAACATTTTCGAGTCTGGAAGAATTCAAAAATTGCAGAATTCTTGTGTACGGTTAATATTTGGAATTCGTAAATATGATCACATTTCTACTAAATTTAAAGAAACTAAATGGTTAAATATGGTTAATAGAAGAAATTTACATTTTGCTTGTCTCAGTCAAAAATTATTTAATATGAGGACACCGCCATACTTGCATGAAAAATTAACATTTAGAACTGATGTTCATAACCTAAATATTCGTTTTAAATCCATACTTAGATTGCCTAGATTTTTCAAAGCTAGTTTTAAAAGTTCTTTTACCTACAATGTCACAGTTCATATCAATAACCTGTTAAAAATTGATCCAACATTATTACATTTAAACGCAGAAACCTTTAAATGCCGATATAAAAATATATTGCTGCAAACACAATAATTACTTTTTATTTCTACTCTTTTTTATTTTTTCATTTCTCTTTCTCCTTTTATTTATCCTTTTCTGTTTCCTTTCCTGTTTCTTTCCCTTTGCATTAAACGTTTCTTATAATTTTAGAAAGCCATCTCAAAGTGCATTTTTTTATATCATATTGGCATTGGTGGAAGACCAGGGGTGGATAATATCCGCACCTGAACCAATTTGGGCCAATTGTCTACTGACTTTTTTTTTATATATATATTTTTAATTGTATAAACTGTACTATATGTACTTTATATGTGGACAATAAATGTGTAATTATTATTATTATTATTATATAGAATTCGTAATTAAAAAATATATTTATATATTTATAAAAGTATTGGGCTGGTGCATAATTATCAGGTGTTTCTGTAGGTGGCCGTTTTTTCTGAAACAATTGCTGCATTGTTTACTTTTGCTTTGTCAAAATAATATTTAATTTCGTGGTTATAAAAATGCGTGTCGATAATTCTACTCATACTCGTCATATTATGCTTTACCACTTCGAAAAAGGATGGAAAGCAGCGCAGTCATTTCGTGATCTCAACGAACTTTTTGGTGAAGGAACAATAAGTGATAATGTATGCAGGGAATGGTTTGCCCGTTTTAAATCTGCCGACACTATCTTGGAAGATAAGCCAGGAAGAGGTCAACCATCATATTTCGATAACCAGGCACTTTTGGAAGCCGTAGAAAGGGACGAAAGTTTGACAACTCGAATGCTGGCAGAAGACTTCAATTTGGACCACTCAACCATCGTTCGTCGTCTGAAAAAGCTGGGAAAGATATGGAAAGTGGCTGGTTTGGTCCCTCACGAACTGTCCGAAAACAATAAAGCCGAACGTCTCCGAATTTTTACTGATTTGCTACAACGTAACGAACAAGCTCCGTTTTTGAAGAATCTTGTCACTGGAGATGAGTCATGGCTTTCTCTTTAAAAATGTCAAAAGAAAGAAGGTCTGCGTTTCGCCAGGTGTTGCACCAGAACGAGTACCGAAAAATGTACACTGTAAAAAGGCAATGTGGTGTGTTTGGTGGAACAGAAGCGGAATTATCCATTGGGAAATTATTTCAAATGGGATTTGTTATTGGTGGAATGACGACGATGAGCGTCACGAATGGTGGATTCCAGACAAAAACGGCAAGCGGCAATTCAACGTCAACAGGGATGTCTATATGGCGCAACTTGACTGCCTTCACGCTGCAATCGAGACGAAAAGACCGCGCAAAAAAAACCATATTATCTGACCATATCGTCTTCCTTCACGACAATACGCGTCCACATGTTGAGCGCCGTGTTGTCGAAAGTATCGCCAATAAGGGTTGGGAACTGCTTCGCATCCGCCATATTCTCCCATAGAAGCGCCAACGGACTACCATGTCAATCGATCGCTGAAAAATTGGCTAGTACACTTTTTTTGCCCGTTGAATCGACCGTCTTCCAAGCAAATGGGAATCAGTTATTGAAGTTAACGGTGACTATGCTCCGGAATAATGATTTAACGATACTATTAGAGAATTTTTATGTTTTTTTTAATATAAATAAAATTTTGCTTTTATATAAAGTTTTTTATAAAACGCCTGATAATAATTATGCACCGCCCCAATTTATTGATTTATAATACAAGTGAAAAGATTCATTTATTATTAATATATATTTTTATTACGTCAGCTAAAGAAAAGTATATTTAATAAAAAAAAAAAAACATGTGCACAGAATAGCTAATTAGGCAACAGTATTTACGAGAAAGTATATGAAAAGTTAATGTCAAACATGAATTCAAAATTTATTCCAAAAAAAGTGTTGTAATATTGTTATATTTTCGAATGTAATTTGTACTTGTTTTCTTCATTTTAAGTTTGAAATAAAATATAGAATTAATTATTAAATTTGCATTCCAGATACAGACAGTAATCCAAGGCATAAATATTTCCCTTCTAAACATCTAGGTACTTAAGGAATTTTGAAAAATATGTAAAATAATAATAATTTAACTAAATTAAATCTTTCAGTTTTCTGATGTCTATTTTCAATAGGTACCTATTAGATGCTTTTTTTTTAATTTGGTGTCATCGGCACTGACTGCTAAGGTCATTAGCCTCGTGTTCTGTGTAGGCTTTATTACTGTTTCCCAGCGCCACTTTAGGATCAGCACTGTTAATTAGAACCCAAGTTGCAAAAATATCATTTCATCATTTGAATACATTATTTAAATCATCTTGAAATTTTTTACAATCATCCAAATTATACATTGATAGATACATTCTTAAATCATTACGTAGAATAGTTTATTGCATGAATAGAATATTAATATCTAGAAATCTAGATCATTATAAAAGAAAGATAATGATAATAGTTCCAAATTTGAACCTTGGGGAACGATCGACGTAAACCTATAACTGATAGATTTGAGACTATTAGGCATTCCAACGACCTATCCAAATGGCTACCAGTGGGTACTGACAGTTTAGATATGGCAACCCTGTTTTCATGTTGTCATTAACAGGGTCAATGATACATGTATGTTATATACATTGCTCAAAGCTGGTCGTTTGCGAGCAGCCATATTGCCTGGCAAATATTTATTAATTTGAATCAGTTTAGCAAAAATGTGTTTTAAAACTAATTTTCAGACTTTAGATATTTAAAAAATAATGTTTATATTTTTACTTCAAGGCATAAGCTTATGTTTATTTTAAAAAATAATGATGATCAATCTAAGTAACTATCTATTTCACTCACCTTGTCAAATCACCAGGCATTGCCATAACTTTGCCACATCATAACCTGTCAAAACCCACTGGTAGTCATTCAGTTTGGAATGCCTAATTGTAGAAAACAAATTACTATCTTTTTTGGAGGTAGACAAAACTTAAGTCTCGAACTGATTTAATAATGTATTGATTATGGTCTATAAATTTTGGACTAACGCTATATTTTTAGGTTTTACTTACCTTAAAAGCCCTTCTCCATTATAAATATACACCCTTAAAGGTTCCACAGACGTAATTACGGTATATATACCAATGTCAAATCTATGGCCGTTTACCAGCAACGGTTTTTCAATATATTCTTGAAGAAACGTTCCCTCTTTGTCTAAATCGATCTCATCGATGTTCTTGATTTTGACCTGGCGATGGTCGTTATTTTTCTGTATGAAAGTCACGTTTGGGTGATTTTTGGCGTAGTTGAGTAACTTATCTTTGTCAACTGGTAACTTAAAGGCGGGCGGGATGTACTGCAAGCCACTGGTGGCTAAATTTACTTTGTTGGTTATGTGGCCACAACCTGAAATAAGTTAATCGGAAGATAATACATGTTGTTATTAAATATAATAGGGAGACAAATGTAATGTTATTTTAACTAGGACATCCTGTATGTGATGCGGAACAAATTGTTTTCTATCTATTTTAGGTAGTCCATATGTATAATTAGAGAGCTATTCGGTCAGAATTTGTGTACAGGCTGTGGCGGTTTGCCCGTAAGGGCACTTGGGCACGTGCCCTAGTATAATAAACAAACAAAAAATAACTTACATATTTTATATTTTCCTCAATGTCTATTATTATTTTATCTAATATTCGCTCAAACCGCGTTGGCACGACACTGGACGACCGGGCGTTGAGCGACATTCCGAGAATTCCGAAAGAAGATGGGCACAGAGCACAGTAAATGTGTGCCTCTGTTGTTTTCTCTCTCATTATGATGCGAAAAACAAGGACAACGACAATATCGCTTAGCAAGAGATGAACACATGCGATGGATTATACGTCACAAGCGGGGCGCTGTCCTAGACCAGATATGAATGTACAGTCTGTTCGCTATACTTACGCGGGTTTCGGATTAACAAAATTATACAAATTAGTCATTGAAAACCAGTTCCGATAAGCCTCTTCCTAAGAAATTAGGTAAAATTGCCCTAATGGTCAGATTTAAATTAAAATAACATTAGGGTAGGTACTAAATTTGTGTGTGAAGTGTAATATAAAATTATTATTAGGTTTATAATAGCCACATTAGACTCCATTAATGAAGAAGTTTAATTCTGCTCTCAATTATACAAAAGATTCTCCATTATTATTTAATTAAAAAGTTGTACATTATTTTTCATTTCATTTAACCAGTTGATATTTCCCCCAAAGAACAGGTCAAACTTTCGGGTACTTACCTGGAAATTTTTAATCCGAAACCCGCGAACAGACTGTACGCAGAGTCATCTTTACCGGCTTCCTCACAAAGGCGAAGCCGGTTTCGGCTGAAGGTGCGCGTTTGTTGGACCATGATAATAATTGATTTATTGTGATTACGAAAAAACGTTAGTTGGACCATTGGAATAGTTAAGAAATAGAACTACAAAGAAAAATAACTTTTTTTTAAAGCAGTCAAAAATATGATGAAAAAAAAAATCAATAATATTTATAAATGGGACAAAATTTTTATTTTTCTTTTGGTTTTGTCTGACTTTTTCGAAGATTTCAAATCTCTGTTTGCATTTTTAAGAGTATAAAAAATTCTGAGTCTTATAAATAATTTAATGGTGTACATTTTCGCAAATTGTTGGCAAGGATGACCAAATTCTATTTTGCTCATTTCAAAAAGGTATGCGTTGGAAATTCCAGGCTTAGTTGACAAACTATCAAATAGAGATATAAATATTTTTTCTAATTTGAATATATAGAAGAGAAATTTTTAGCTGGGAGATTTTAAATTGCCAAACACCTTTTCTTAAGAGTCGTATGCTTTAAAATGCGTTAACAAGTTAGAATTGTTAAGTAAATTGCATTCTTCTGAGAAATTTACGCAAATTTCGCAAGAGTGGATATGTAATGATTTTTTGATTAAATAGCCACATACATAGTTAAATTCATTTTGAGTGGTCACATTTAGCTCCCTGTAGTCACATTCAGAAATCGTTATTGCCCCAACTGATTGTTTTGAAATATATTTAATTTTCATTAAGCGGAGAACTTGTTTTCCTAAGGGAAAACGAATCACGGGATTCCTTTCCAGTGTGTGCCCCACTGCCGCTAGTGCCCACGAGCCGCCACTGTATACAGGGTGTACCAATAAAAACTCCCAGGCAGGATATTTTGGTAAGTAATAGAGATATTTTAATTATGTAAAAACCAATTCACAGAGCACTAAGGGAGCTTCAGTTTTAGACATAAATTGATTTTAAATAGGTCAATATGTAGATAGCGCTGCGCTTAATAATTTTTTTTCGATGGAAGGATCTTGTGTTGCGCATCTTGTAAAAAATGCATTTTTAAGCAGATTTTGTTCTATGAACTAATTCGATAAATCTAGCCATTTTTGATATACAGAGTGGGTCACTCAAAACAGTTTCATCCTGTTTTTCAGCATTAATCATTGGATTTTATGAAAATGCTAAAACAGATCGATTTTTATTCTTAATTTAAAATATTTTTACAATGCAGACATCTGTCATGTGTCAACCCCCTCCCTTGCACTTCTCCAATACCTTAATTTTAAATAGGTAATCAGGGCCGACAAGAGGGGGGCGGGGGGCAGCCGGGACTAATTCCCAGGGCCCGGACTCAAATGGGGGCCAGGCAACCGTGGCGAGGATTTTTTTCTTTCAGAAGTTTGGCACAAGACAAGATAAGGAAGTTTTTGCTTGGGGACCTTTTTTTTTGTTTTAGAGAAATTTAAGTAAAGAGGGGGAGACTTTTTTTATAAAATTGTTACGAAACCCGATCTGGAGAATTGTCCTGGGGCCCGACCTGGCTCTCGGCGGCCTTGTAGGTAATGTACCATGTATGGCACATCATTGAAAAGGTAATTTAATGGGGGATTCAGAAATATTTCTGTACATTGCGTTACTTAAATTTTATCGCCCTCTAGCAGGATAAAAAACTACTACGTATTATACAGGGTGTTTCATCTCAGGCGAGCCACCCCGTATATTTCTTATCCCATAGTAATTGGAAAAATTTCCCGAAACACGTCGGATGATTTTCTTTAGGGGACATCTTTTGACGTATATTTGAGGCTTAAACAAGCAACTCCCTATGAGGGGGCGCTTCAACCCCTCAAAATTTAATAGGGAAGAGGGGTTGAGTGATACTTCATTTGTATGAAAAAAATCACATTCTTAAAAAAAATTGTTTTATCATGCTTATAATGAAAAAAATCAAAACTGCGTTTTTAAATCAAATGTTCAAATTGTCCTTTATTGACTTCCATATAATAATAAATTCTCTCGAACTAATAAATAAAAAAAAATCAAAACATTTTCTTATCTTGTCTTCATTTTTTGTTCTTAGAAGGTGTTTATCACGTTTCTTCGATCATTTCATGTGACTAAACAATTAATTTTTTTAAGAATGTGATTTTTTTCATACACCGTTGTAAAGAGGCTTCCAAGACCTTACAAATGAAGTATCACTTAACCCCTCTTCCCTATTCAATTTTAAGGGGTTGAAGCGCCCCCTCATATGGGGTTGCTCGTTCAAGCCTCATATATACATCCAAAGATGTAACCCAAAGAAAATCATCCGACGTGTTTCGGAAAATTTTTCCAATTACTATGGGATAAGAAATATACGGGGTGGCTCGTTTGAGATGGAACACCCTGTATAGTGTGATACTACAATGTGTAATACATTATTAAAAGGGTAATTTTATAGGGAATTTAGAAATATGACTGTTCATTGCAATACTTTTAATTGCACCGCCCTCTATCGGGATAAAAAACTACGAATAATAAAGTGTGGCACCTTATTTGAAAGAAAATTTAATTACTAATTTAATGTACCACAAAACATTAATATAAATATCCTCCATATTACACTTGCAATAGTTTGAAAATTAGTCAGGCATTCTTTTAACCATTATTGCTAACAATATTTTGTTGCAAGTGCAGTATTATGGAAATATTTATATAAATGTTATGTGGTGCATTGAATTAGTAATTAAATTAGCTTTCAAATGAAGTATCACACTTTATAATACGTTACAGATTTTTTATCCCGATAGAGGGCCCTAAAATTAAAAGTTTTGCTATAACAGTCATATTTCTGACTTCCCCATAAAATTACCGGTGCCGTACATGGTACATTCTTTATTTAAAATTATGGGTTGGAAAAGTGGAAGGGAGGGGGTTGACACAAGACAGATGTCTGTATTGTAAAAATGTGTTCAATTTGGAATAAAAATCGACCAGTTTTAGCATTTTTTAAAAATCCAATTATTAATACCGAAAAAGAAGATGAAACTGTTTTGAGTGACCCGATCTGTATATCAAAAATGGCTTCATTAATCGAATTAGTTTATAGAACAAAATTTGCTTAAAAATGCATTTTTTACCAGATGCGTCATATAAGAAAGATCCTCCTATCGAAAAAAAAAATATTGAGCGCAGCGCCATCTACATATTGACCTATTTCAAATTAATTTATATCTAAAATTAAAGCTCTCTTAATGTTCTGTGAACTGGCTTTTACAGAATTAAAATATCTCTATTACCAAAATATCCGGCCTGGGAGTTTTTATTGGTACACCCTGTATACATAGATACAGATATTATTGTACTACGTAAAATACGAGTATAGTATTCTGCATTTTTACTAATTATTTTCTTATTTAAAATAAGTAGATTAGCTTTCTATTACCCTTTCACGATTTACTATTAAACAATTAATCATCCATTCAAATTCTACAAAATTGCCTAAATTGAACGAATTGACTATTATGTGTACTTAGTACTCTGGCCTCTGAATTATTCCAAACTGTCATTGTAGTACTTCAGAAACATTTTATGTGGATCCCTTCATACATTATGAATAGCAGAAACCCCAATACACTACCTTGGGGTGCTCCCAATTTTAACACCAATTTATTTATATTTTTTGGGGTGAAGGAATATATAAAACGATATTTACCTGGAAAATGATTCACCTTCTGATGAGCTTTCAAATTATACAATTCATAGTACAATTCTCCGAAAGGATAATCATGCGCCCAAAGGAGATCCCAATCAGTTGTATTATCCTCTCTTCTGTATCCCAACCTGTCCAATACAGTGAAAACTTCTCTTAAATGTCCACCCTCGACGTTTTTCCCATACGCCCAATATGTTTTTTGTGGTTTTTCCGGATCCAGAACATGATCGTCTGATATTTTTTGGAAGCATTGTCTACATTCCTCTGCGGCTATCGCTAATATCGTTAGAACTGATATTCCCGCTATGAATATCGTTAAAAAAAAGTATTTTTCTATAACCGTGGGTTGTGGTATTGGAATTTGTTGTTGTCGCGATTCTGACGACTAAAAAATATGTAACATATTATAAAAATTAAATTAATAATCTGGTAATAAAAAAATAGGTAAGTTCCACAAGGATCTAATCTTCATACCCTATTGTTTGCACTCTTTATAAATTATCTGCCTATGGTTTTAAAATACTTAGACTTTTTCTTTTTGCAGATGATTATAAAATATACAACAGGTACAAAGTGTGAGGGGTTGTGTAATGGTATTGATAATTTATACGAAAGAATCAACGAAATAAATTTTATTTTTATATTATCAAATGTCTTGTAATGACATTAACGCGTTTAAAGGATATAATATGATGATTTGAGTAAGGCATTTGATTGTGTCATTCAAACAGTATTGTTACATATACTGACAGCTGTCATTTATTTAGTCTTCTTTTAACGATATACCCCGCGCACGATCTGTAGTTGTTAGGTTAGATGACCTTATTTGATTGTATGATAAGTTTTTTTGCTGTATATTAGGTACATTAGGTTAGAGATCATTATTTGACAGCTGTCAGCAATGACTTATCCCTCGTCATCGAAGGCCGTATGTGACATATTCAGTTCTTCCCAGCCTCCAATCTAGGGGGTGGGCAAACCGGAGCACTTGGCCTTGGGCGGCAGTTCAAGGGGGCACAAGTTCATTTGTAAGATTTTTTTTTATTTGGGTGCATTCCGAAAGGCACTGCGCGTAGTACAGCAGTGCAGCATAGCAAGGCGATAGTACCAACTTCACGCAAAACTAAAATTTTTAAAACGTTTCTAAAAATCGTTTGAGGGTCTAAAATTATATTGATTACACTCCAAATCATACAATGACTATTTATTTCTGCGCCATAGATAGGTAGTACCTCAACTGCTGCGGCGTATGTAGAAATGCGTTCACTAATAGAGAGTTAAGATTTATCCAAGAGCAACGCATTCATATGGATTTTGCTTTTACAATAAAATTTAATGTTAAGAAAAAATGTTTAGAGAAATGGAAATAAATCCATATTTATTTTCTTTTATTTTTTAAACAATAAATTAAAAGTGAAGTGTAAAATAACATTTTTTTGTTTACAATGTTATTTTAATCTTCGCTTAGTAATTTAATGATCGTTTAACACAACGGTAGAATCGGCCCTTAGTATACTGACGGTACAAGTGGTAAGCGCTTGAACGAAGTAGTAATAACACGTGGTTGTAAGTTTGTTTATTATTAAATGTCAATGTCAAATGTCTTTTCGTCGTGTTTATGTTTTAAGTGTTATAGATTGTCATTTAAAATATTGTTACGACACACTATTCGGGGGAATGGATAGCTGTCTTTCTGCGTTATCTGATTTAATCTTCTATAGTCTACACAAAAACGAGTAGATCCGTCTCTCTTAGTTACTAGGACTTTGCTACTTCTTTTGATTAGCAAATGGGAGTCTTCTAGATGCTTGTCGTATTGGCCTTGCATCGCCTGTATAAATTCTATGCTAAACAAGACTGGTACCCCCCGTAGGTTTTCCTGTCTCGAAAATGTCACAATTGGTATTGATACATTCTTTGACTTTTCTAAGTTCTTCAGCTGTCACCCAGACATCACACCAAATCCCAGAGATATCCACAGAATATCTTTTGTGGATATCCAAATATATATCCACAGGATATCAGAAATATTCCGTGGATCTAATATGGATATCCAAATGTCCGTCTATATCCAGAATATAGAAGATATCATATGGATATCCAGCAAAATATCTAATGAGTATCTTCCAGACAATACAAGAAATCCCAGAGATATCCACAGAATATATTCTGTGGATATCCAGTGTGGATATCCAACTAAATGTCCGTCTATATCCCAGGATATAGAAGAACTCGGATATTCAGCAAAATATTTTATAGGTATCTTTAGTAGAGGTTCATAAGTAACCAATGATTATTGAATAAAGTCGAAAGAAAATAGCAGAGATAAAAAATAAATAAATGGAAATTCTCGACTCCAGTCTCTAATGGAGTCTGATTGGGAAACAAATTTCGATCGAACTCAATTACGGCGGGTTGAGCATGAGTAGAGTGAAAGTAGTATCGCCATCTATACTTAGTAAGCAAAATCAAAAATTACATCTAGTGGATATCCACGATGGTTTGCGTTTGCGCCTAGACTTTGATATATTTAGTGGATATCCTTGGGATATTGAATACACCTTAAAAAATTAATTTTAAATATCTGAACGATACTATTAGCCACAATGGCGAGCACAATGGCGTAATTTTTTATTAATTTGCTATATAATTACTATTATTTATGGACATTTGCATGTCTATAAATTACAGCTCATGGATATAAAATAGATATCCACCATGGACTGGACATTCAGTGGATATTGGAATCTTCAATAGATATCCAAAGGATTTGGTGTGATATCTGGGCAGGTGGTCATAATTTTTAACTAGCTGTTTTACGAAGCTGCCGTCAACTGAGTTACTTGTGGTAGCACTTGATTATGTTTTCCACCGGTGTACAGACCCGTATTGCTTGTCCTTTCTTTAGTTTGAATGGTCTTTTCGATAAATTGGCAACCCTTACTGGAATTAGTTGATCAACGTTAACGAGACATCTAGCTACCAGAATTCCGTCACTCACGGATTCTTCACTTTCTTCAATGCCCACATGCAAGCCGTGTGATTTCTCGCTAAGTCTTGCCGAGACGACAGCTTCAGAATTTTGGGATACTTCTATGTCTTTTTCTACTAGGACCTTTATCGGTTGAGTCCTTTCTTCCGAATTTAGGACAATTTCCTCGTTTCCAATTACCATGATCTTGTTTTGAAGGTCGATGATAAACTTATTTTGCATAATGTCTATACACTGATCTTTAATATCGGCCACCAGAAATAAGTGTTCTATCAGGGTATTACCAATCTGTACGGTTGCTGATAGAACAGGAGTAGTGTGCCCTGTAGCTGTTTCCAGAACTAAGCTTCTTCGAGTTGGTCGTGGTTTTCGATGCAGGATCCCTGTTCGAATGAAAGACTTAGTTCGTTTTTATTTAAGGTGTAAGTGCGAATTTTGGGGCCTTCTGCTACAGCCGACGCGTGCCCCGTAGTGTCGACCTTTATTCGTTTCCCTGACTATTGTTAGAAAGCCGGCTAAGTGTGGGTGACCGGCTTCTCCGGGAGGCATATCTGCTATAATTACTCCTTGTTGGACCTCGTGGAGGGCTTCGGGAGGTTGATTTAGGTGAATTTCTAGCATCATTTTCCGATTCTCGATACATAGAACGAGCTCTGCTTCGACAGGTTTTTTGAAGGCGTCCGATTCTTCCGCAATTAAAGCATCTTTTGCTCTCATATTGGCTATTTTGTTGCATATTTTGCAGGATATTTAGGATTCGTAAGAGGGTAGGTTGAAGGATAGTTTTAGTAGTGGCCTCTTCACTTTACTGTAATCTAATTTCTCTCAATTTTGCGCGTGAAGATCTAGATATAGTTTTTACTGCTTCGTATTCCTGGGCTGCAATCAGTGTCTCACTAAACGTCTTGTAGTGTTGCAGCCGAAGAGCCTGCTGCATTTTCACATCCTGTAGTCCATCAATAAATGCCTGTATGCTGATTTGTTTTAAGAAATCTTTAGGTCCCTGTGGATAGGCTAGATGCAGCAATCTTTTAATATCATCTTCGAATTCTTGTAGGTTCTCATCGTGTTTCTGACTACGAACTTTTAGCTTGCTTTGGAATACCTGTTTCAAATGCTGCTGGCCATATCTTGTCTCCAAAGCTTGGACAAGAGATGAATAACTGGGTTCCTCTTGAGGAGGTAACTGTAAAACGGTTGCTGCCTGACCTCTCAGTGACAGTATCAATGAAGCCGCCATCTCTTCTCGGTCCAGCCATTGGCTCTAGCTGCAGCTTTAAATTGGAGTCGATATGTTTCCCATGTTGTCTGACCGTCAAACGTGGGTGGCTTAAGGGTCTTGCTGGTATAGTTTTGTGAAACTGGGATTCGAATGTGGCTTGGTTCGGTTATGGATGAAGACGAGGTAGTTTTCAGCTTCAATGTTGCTTACCGAAACTTGGCTACGAATTCTAACTCCACCATTTCAACTCTCATTTGCTTTTCTAACTCTACTCTTGTCTTTTTCTGTTGTTGTTCTAAATTGATTTTTAAATTCTGTTGCTGCTGATCTAAATGAGTTAGATGCTCTTGATGTTGCTCTACATTAGTCTTTAAAATATCTTGTTGTTGTGCCAAAAGATCTACTCTATTGTTAAGCTGACCAACCTCTTGTTTGAAGGTTTCCTGGATTTGTAGCAAACCGTTCATAATTTCAATCGCTTCTTTCCTACGCCTCTCCTCCTTCCCGTCTTCTTCTCCCTTCCTATGCCTTTCTTTTTCCTCTTCTCGCCTTACTCTCTCCTCCTCTTCTTCCTTCCTACGCCTTTCCTTTTCCTCCTCTTCTTCCTTCCTACGCCTTTCCTTTTCCTCCTCTTCTGCCTTTCTACGCCTTTCCTTTTTCTCTTCTCGCCTTACTCTCTCCTCTTCCATTTTCAAAAACCATGCTGGTGGGCCTGAAGTATCCGTGTCTGCTTCGTATTCAGTGGATCTAGTATTTACCATGAACTTTTACTTTGTATCCCACCGCTGTCACCAATGTTACGCAGGTTTTTGGTATCACAATTTATTTTAACTGAACTTTACAATAATTCAATTCAACTTTAACAATAACGATACAACTGATAATATTAACATGTAACGTCTATCATCAAACTAAAAACTGACGTCAGGATCATCCTTATATAGCTTGCTTGACCTTCTCGAACCTTCGCGAACTGTCGTCTAGAATATTCTTGAGTAATGACATTTCTGGACATTTCTGGAGTATTCTATATTCTTTTACTTGTACTTTTACTTATGACGACCGCAGCATACTGTAGGGCGATGAGTAACATTCCACTTCTTTTTCTATCTGTACGTTTCCTATAATAGCCGCAGGCTACTGCAGGGTGCTGCGTAACAATGTATTACCAAATTTATAACAGAAATCACTTGAATATTATGGTAATTACCATTATCAAATGGAAAATACCAAATTCTTTTGGTTATTCGGTTAAAATTGACTTATTACTAGATTGTTAGTTTAACCAAATTCTATTTTTGTAAGTCAATCTACTTTTCTTTGATATAAAAATGCTTATTTTCATTTATCTTCGCAACTGGTGACATGAATTTTTCGAAACCGTTGTTAACCGTTGTTAAACAACTTGAACCAAAATGAAGAGAGAAATTTAAATTTGAAAATATTAATATTAATAAAATTATGATTTAGCAAGTTGTAAATATCCCGAAATATATAATTTTGGGAGTGAGGATGACCAGGAACTTGTTGGATACGTTGTGGACAATGAGCACTGATGATGGCAAATAAGCCGAAAGCGCTTTGCATTGATTAATAAAAAAGTTTTGCACGAAATACAAGTTTTTCCTTTTGTATTCTCTATAATTTTTGTATTATAAAAAATTTTCCTAAAATGGTCAGTATTCGAGAATTTTGATAAAATGTAAAATATTAAAATTTTTAAGAAAATTGTTAAAATAAAAATTGTTTATGATATCATTCTCTATAATTCTTTTCCCATGCATAATTTCTCTAAAATGGAACGTATTTGAGTTATTTGAAAAAAAGGGAAACTCAAAAACGGATAAAGAGACAAACACCAAATTTTAAATTTGGGCATTAATCCATCCTGTGGTGAACATCTAAGGGGTTCTTTATGGAAGGTCGTTTTTCTACTTTATGAAATATGTCTGTTATTTATGCTTGGATAAGAAAATTCTTCAAATAAAAGTTTCTTGTTATATTATTCTCTATAATGTTTGTCCTATACATAATTTTCCTAAAATGGCCGTATTCGAGAAATTTGACAAAAATATAAAATTCGACTTTTAAAAAATTGTTCAAATAAAAGATTCTTGCGATATTATTCTCTATAATTTTTATTTTATTTATGATTTCTCTAAAATGGACCGTAATGAAAAAATTTGAGAAAGTGTAAAATTTAAATTTTTCAGTATTTTCGTTAGCAATGAGTATATATAAAAAAATGTTTCGAGTTAGATGTGTGTGGAAAATGTATGTATTTAGTTTATCTTCTAAACATTTACAAGGGTGATACAATAGATTATACAAAATAACCGGAACAAGCCTGTAATAACTAGACAGGAAAGTCATGTGTTGGACACATCAAATTTTAAATTTGGGCATTAATTCATCCTGTGCTGAACATCTAAGGGGTTTTTTATGGAAGGTCGTTTTTCTACTTTATGGAATATGTCTGTTATTTACGCTTGGATGAGAAAATTCTTCAAATAAAAGTTTCTTGTAATATTATTCTCTATGTTTGTCCTATACATAATTTTCTTAAAATGGCCGTATTCGAGAAATTTGACAAAAATATAAAATTCTATTTTTAAAAAACGTCTTTAAATATTTTTTTCAAATTTGATCCACCAAGATCTTGTCAAAAGCACAAACTATGAAAAATTTGACACGTGCTACTAGGTTAGAATTTAAAAATATTGAGTCCTTACAAGTGTTTAGAAGCAAATTTATAAAAAAAAATCATAGAAATCAGACAAAGTGGTAAAAAATTATCGCTGAATATACATAAAAAAATAAGAGTTTGATGATTTTCTCATGGATCGCTTATCAAATTTTGACCAAATTTATATGGGAACACCCCTGAGGTACCCCTTTTTTTACAAAAAAGAATCGTAGAAATCGGACAACGTGGTAAAGAATTATTACTGAAAATACATAAAAAATATTTCGATGAATTGAGAACTTTCTTTTTACTTTCCTATCTGTATACAGATATAAGGAAAGTATAGGAATCATGATTTTTTTCGACCTCGAGTTTTCGACGGATTTTTACGTTTTGAGATCCCCTGAATCCGTTTTGACTATTTTCGCGATGATGTCTGTCTGTGTGTGTGTGTGTGTGTGTGTGTGTGTGTGTGTGTGTGTGTGTGTGTGTGTGTGTGTGTGTATGTCGCATAACTCATGAACCGATACACAGAAAAACACCAAATTTTAAACTTAAGCTTTATTCTAGCGTCTAATGAACTGATTAGATTTTGGGCAGAGTCGGAACATCTGGGGGGGTACTTTATAGGTAGTCATTTTTATATTTTATGGAATATATCTGTTATTTACGTTTGAAGAAGAAAATTTTTCAAATAAAAGTTACTTTTAATATAATTATCTATAATTTTTGTTCTATACAAAATTTTCCTAAAATGGTCCGCATTCGAGAAATTTTACAAAATGTAAAAAAAAATATTTTTTATAAAAATTGTTCAAATAAAAGTTGTTTGTAATATAATTCTCTATAATTTTTATTCTATACATAATTTCTCTAAAATGGACCGTATTGTTCAATTGTTCAAATAAAAGTTACTTCTTATATTATTACCTATAATTTTTGCCTTATGTCAAAAGTTCTTGAAATGGTCCGTATTCGAGAAATTTTACAAAATGTGCAAAATTCTGATTTTTATGAAAATTGTTGAACTAAAAGTTGTTTGCGATATCGATCTCTATAATTTTTGTTTATACATGATTTTTCTAAAATGGACCGTAATGGAAAAGTTGTAGGAAAAGTGCTAAATTAAAATTTTTTTCAGTATTTTCGTTTTCAATGAATATCTATAGAAAAATGTTTCGAGGTAGATGTATATGAAAAATATACCGGGTGTTCAAATTAAAGTGTTACAGTTAAATACCGCCGAAAATATGCATTTTAGAAAAAAAAGTTTCAGACAAAAGTTTTATAGTTTTTTGGGGGAAACATTTTGGCTAAATTCATTTTTTTATAGCTGACCATAATATGGCCATATCGAGGTGAACTTTGTTTTTTTAAATGGGAATCCCATTTTTTTCTTACATATTCTTAAAGTACATAAAAAATATGAAACTTTTGAGAGAAATATTTTTTTTATTGGACTTTTACTTTTTGAGTAACAGCTACTTGAAAATGTTGCTGCGCGAAAAAAAAGTTGGCCATATTATGGTTAGCTATAAAAAACGATTTTAGCCAAAAGTTTTTCCCTACAAAACTATAAAACTTTCGTCTGAAACGTTTTTTATAAAAAGCGGTATATAGCTGTAACGCTTTAATTTAGAACACCCGGTATATATTTAGTTTATCCTCTAAACATTTATAGAGGTGCTGCAATAGGTTGTTCAAAATAACCGGAAAAAGCCTATAATAACAAGATAGGAAAGTCATGTGTTGGACACATCAGATTTTTTTTTGAAGTCTGTTAAAAATGGAAATAATATTTTAACATCCATATGAATCATTAACATAAAATTTCTAAATTCGCACTTTCACTATACCTACAACCCTTACTAAGTACTTCATAAAAAGTATCAGTATACCTACAATGTCTCTAATATTATATTTCCAATTTCAAAGACGCCATAAGTAAAAAATTTAAGTTACCAACTAGTACTCACTTTAAAATTTTTCTTCTCTTCTTCGACGAGATTCATTTCGTTTTCTGTCATGACTTTCTATGAGCGACGAACTAAATAAAGTGTAATTTTTTTCGTGGTCGAGATAGTCATTTTGTTCACGCTACCAAGATGAAGATCATCTGAATTCATTATGAGTAACGGTACTATCCCATGTGTAAGAAGGAGACGGTAAATGTGAGAGTTATGTACGTATTTATTTGTTCTACCTTGTTACCTACTTATTCAGATGTTGAGGTGGTACTCTGATGGTAATTTGGTTGTCTATCACATGGCGCAACTGAAGACATATCGGGCAGGAATTTAAAAATTTATCGCAATGTTAAAATATTATTAGTCCAACAGAAGACTAATTTTGGATATTTGTAGAGATAAATTTGATGATGCTTATAGCTTAAATGATTAATTAAAATTAATATTTTTTGTATATCGTTACCCTAATTAGCAAACCTCGTAACTAAACTTTTGCCAAATTCACATTTTCATGCAAACTTTTAGAGACAAAAACCTCTATAACATGTTTCAAACCTCATAAATCCAGAATAATATGATTCTAAGTTCTGGATTCTGGATTTATGAGGTTTGAAACATGTAATAGAGGTTTTTTTCTGTAGGGGAAATTCGGGTAACGGTGCGCAAATTTAAAATTTGTTTTGAAACGAGAACAACTTCTGTAAAAGGGAATCGCCGAGAGGCTTAGTAAATAGTTCAAAGTATGCCCTACATTATGGCCTATATTAAACAAATCATTTAAACAAAATTAATATCCTACAATATTTTTAAAAAAATTCTACACTGCGCACAGTTAACGTACATGTATGGGGTGATTAGACGCATATAGCGGGGAATTGGCGCGTCACCGGGTGAATGTGCGCTTTACACCTTGAATATTTTTTTCTTGTATATTAATAAAAAAAACACATAGATAATAATGTGCAAAACTAATGCTTTAATTCTGAAACAGTTACATATACAAATATGCTTAAAAAATAATTGAAAAGTGGAACTAAAAACATTGAATTCTTTAAAAAAATAAAAGGTAAGTATTCTAATCACAATTGTATAGAGTATAACAAAACTCATAAGAAATCTAAGTGGGATTCTTGGAGAACATTTTATCAGGAAATTGAAAATACAACTGAAGGACTCCACCGCATTCTAGCAAAAGATCCAATAAACCCTGTGGGGACTTTAAAAACCCAAAGAGAGGAATACACTAAAACTGGAATGGAAACAGAACTACTTTTTAAAACTCATTTCCCTGATTGCACAACAAACTCGAATGCAGCAAACCAAACCCACACTAACTGGAACTCTCAAAAAGGGTCTTCAGCCAAGAGTGGGAAACTGCTAAACGGGTAGTTACAACAGAGAAAGTAACATGGGCAATACGCACCTTCAATCCATACAAATCACCGGAACCAGATGGGGTACTGCCTGTGCTTTTGCAATAGGCAATAGAAACGCTGGCCTCGCATATTTGTAGGCTTTACAGGGCAAGTTTGGTGCATAAACATGTACCAAATACCTGGAAACAAAGTAGAGTTGTCTTCATACCTAAACCGGGGCGTCCAACGTATGCCGTGGTAAAGACCTGTAGACCAATAACTCTGACGTCATTTCTATTGAAAGGATTGGAAAAACATGCCTATCAATTAGGAAAATCTTGTGAGTCTTCTCTGCATCATCTTGTAACCAAGATAGAGGGAGGACTCAGTAGCCAAGAAATAGTCCTAGGAGCATTTCTTGACATAGAAGGAGCTTTTGATAATACCTCCTTTAAATCAATGGTAGCTGCCGCTCGCAAACATGGAATAGAAGACACCATCTGCTGGTGGATAGAAGACATGTTATGCGGACGGCAAGTATAGGCACAAATGTTCAGTGAATGCAGGTGAATATCCATAGGGGATGCCCACAGGGTGGAGTCCTTTCTCCTCTACTGTGGAACCTAGTGGCAGATGAACTGCTGAAAACACTAAACAATCAAGGGCTGTACGCCCAAGGATATGCCGATGACATAGTCATCCTTATCCGAGGGAAACACCAAACCACGGTCTTTGAACTCATGCACTTAGGCTGACAGAAATGTGGGGCGTTAGGGAAAACCTCTTGGTAAACCTTGACAAGGCACAACTCATAACCTTTACTCGGAAAAGTTTTAGAAACTCCGACTCTGTTTGGAGGAAGGCTAAAAATAATAAACCAAGTAAAATATCTAGCTATAATCCTAGATAGCAAACTTACTTGGAACCAACACTTACAAAAAGTGACCAACAAATGTAAAATGTCTCTCATTGTAGAGAGACGGGCATTTGGAAAAACATGGGGATTAAAACCAAAAATGGTCCACTGGCTATATTTGGCAATAACAAGACCCATGATAACTTATAGAGCGGTTGTTTGGTGGCCAAAAGTAAACCAGAAAACAGCCCTCAATACCCTCTCAGGAGTACAGAGGCTGGCATGCCTTTGTATTACAGGAGCACTGAGAAGTACATCGACAGCCTCTATGGAAATCATTCTAAACCTCCCACCCCTTGATCTAGTCATAAAGGGGGAGGCCAGAATGAGTGCATACAGACTGGAAATTTCCAACAACTGGAACCCACTGGGACATATAAAACATACCAGAATAACACATGAAGTAAATGATTATATATTAAATATGGAATCAGATCACATGGCACCCCTCCTAACCTTAAACAGACTCTTCCAGGTCAACTGTAACTGGAACGAGGTAAATAAGAAGATAGATAAATATTTGCTTAGCGATCTCGTATGGTATACGGATGGATGGACCTAAAACTAACAAGGGAACAGGCTCTGGCGTACATGGACATGGGACATCATCGTCTCACTGGGAAAACATGCCACTGTATTTCAGGCTGAAATACATGCAATCAAATTGTGTGTACGAGAGAATTTAAGAAGTAAGTACAAAAAACAAACCATCCTAATTCTCTCAGCTAGCCAAGCAGCCTTAAAGGCTCTTGATTCAAACAGAATCAAATCAAAGCTTGTCTGGAACTGCCTTGGAATACTAAATGATCTGTTAACCCACAACAAGGTAAAACTAGCGTGGTTACCAGAGCTCAAAAGTATCCAAGGAAATGAAAAGGCTGATGAACTCGCCAAAGAGGGATCAGATTTATCATTCATAGGACACAGACCTGTATTTGGGATAAGCAAACCTCTGCTCGACAGGCAGGGAACAGGTGGATAACCACAAAACACCAAATTCACTGGAAACAGATAAGAGGGCACAGAATTAGTAAGCTCATGCTAAGGGGACCAAACCCACGCATGGCTACTGAGGCACTACAACTTACAAGGCCTCAGATATCCACCATTGTAGGATTATTAACGGGACACTGCTTGCTGAAACACCTTCATGTAATGGGATTACACAATAAATCCACTATGTGTAGACTTTGCATGGAAGAGGAAGAAACCTCCTACCATATGATCTTCGAATGCGAAGCTCTTACTAGGCGACGTTTCATCCGTTTCGGCCTGGAACCAGAAAGAACGTCCCAGGAAAACTTGGTAGGGAACCTATTAAAACTAACCAAAGACACAGGGCTATTCCAAAGATAGTGCCTACGGGTAAAGCAGCGGAATACAATAGACCCAAGAGGCTGCAGTGTTCTGGGCCAAACCTAACCTTACCTGCTTACAACCGATAAAGATAAAGATTAAAAAATCACAATTGTAACAAATGTAATTTTGTGGTGAGTCATATCCACTGCAAAGAGCGTGAGCCCATTTCGAACATATAGTCCACCTATACCAGATTTCAGGGGCAACTCTCCACATATTAAACACTGATTTTCATCAACATCTGGATAATCATCGCATTCTTCATCCTCGCAAAGCATACTGGCACTGTCAATAGATTTAACCTCGCTATCACTCTCTTCGAACAGTTGACTTTTTACGTTCTTTCTTTTCTTGGATTTTGTTTTATTATTGATCTTTTTAATATTACTCCGGCGATAAAGTTCTCTTTGACGTTCTGTTTTTTTTTTCTATCTCTTCTAACTCGTCCTCGTTTGATATTGCTGTCAGTATGATACTTTTCTGTTTATTTTTTTTTATACTTACTGGTGCTGCTAGTATTGAGAATTGGAAATTAAGTCCCCGCTGTTACTACATGTTTAACTTCTAATCGTTTTGAAATAGTTTTTGAGGGTGAAATTCTACCTAACCCTGATTTAGATGCCCACTCAGAACTGCTACTTGCCAATGATTCAGTAACTAGATTCTGCATTTTACTTGATGCTCGATGCAATGTTGGCTCCAATGTTTTGTTTGTCGATGGTTGACTTTCTGAATTCAAAATCACAGACGCAGCATTTGGCTTGCAAGAAATATTTTAATTTTTGTTGTCAGGTAATATATTTTCGTCATTAATAGGTCGAAATTGGGATGCTGGTGCAAAGTCTTCCAAAGTAAATTTGTTTGGCTGGAAGGGGTATATACCTGCAGTTCCAATCCCAGATATCACTTTTTCCATCGTCGCTACTTTGACAAAAGCTTTATTGAAAATTTCAGTCAAGTCATACATTGTAATTCTTTCATGACTTCTCAAAAACAAGTCGCATTCTTTATTGTATTCTGATTTCAAAGGGCCGAAAAACGTGAGATCTAGAGGTTGCATACGATGTGAGGTATGCGGAGGACGATACCAGTACTTTTACAGAGTTCGTATATGGACAAGGAAATATAGCTTGAGTGATTGTTCAAAATCACAAGGACATGATTCATTACAATTGGTTTAACCGATTGGGAAAAATATTAAAGCCAATCCATGAATAAATTCTCATTGCTTCAACCTGACACTGAACAAGAAAGTAGAGCTCCACTTGGGCCATTTTTCGCCAAAAGGTATGTCATAGTGTCATACGCTTTCGAGGAAAAATGAACATTGGTGCTATGTACCTACCAAGTGCATTACAACAGCAAATTACTGTTACATTTTTTCCTCTCTCTGCTGAAGTTTTGTAACCAAGTTGCTTTATTCCCTTTGGAGCCAAACACTTAACCGATTTCTGAACGACTGTAATTCCGGTTTCATCCACGTTGTAAATATTATCCGGATTAAATTTATATTTGTTATATACTATCTCTAGATTTGAGAAAAATAATTTTACGGATTCCTGGTTAAAAGCTTTGATTCGATTAACACTAGTGGCTTCAGGTTTCTACAACGTTATATTTGGATATCTTTCCATGAAATTATAGTACCAGTCTTTCCCAGCTAGTTTTCTTTCCTTATTAAATTTATGGCAAATGTTATTAGCTTACGCATATTGGTATGCTAGTTTTCTAAGCTGAATTGGATTTAATCCGTAAAACATTTTCGGCAGCTTAATGACGTGATCTGCCAATTCTTGCTCTTGCTGTATAGTAAAAGTAACCACTCCACCCAGGCACATAGGCTAATACCCTTCTTCTTCCGATAATTTTATTTTTTCTGATTGTTGATTCCGGAATTCCATGTTCTTTGCCAGCAGATCGTATAGAACATCCATTGGAAATTTCTATAATGGCATTTCGCAACTGCTCTGCAGTCCATTTTCCCTTCTTAGTTTTTCTTTAATATTTTTTCGGCATCTAAAATATAATATTGTCGCATTAAAAAACCTACACACTGATTTTAAACTTTAAGTCGGGTAACTATGCGCACGCACAGTTACTCCAATAACTGTGCGCATAAATACCCGATCAGACAATTTTTCTAACTTTGCTTCCTCCAACAAAAAAAATACAATATAAATTGAAAACTAATAAAACAATAATATTCAGGGAAGTTTACGCTTTTGTTTGATACCAAATTTATCCAGCTTAAGTAAAAAATGTAAGTTCGCTTTTTTGTTCATTTTTGTTTTATTTTCCAGCAAAAAAAGATAATTTAACCTCACAAACCATAACAACCAACTGTTGGCCTTCTAACTAAGTTATGAACGCAAAACACATGTTAGGAGTTTGGTGGTTTAACTATAGATGGCACCACGTTTCGAATTTCAAACAATAAATATTATGGCGGTATTTAGATGCGCACAGTTTCCCACTGCGTATATTCACCCGAATTTCCTCTACAAGTTAGCATTAAAATGTGAATTTGGCAAAAAAATGGAGTTACGAGGTTTGGTAATTATGGTAACGATATATTGCAATTATTAAAAAAAATTATAGATAAGATTAATTTTATCTTGTCAATAATCAAAATATTGTATCACATTCTATTATCAATAAAAGCGAATATAGGTAACTAATAGTATTAGGTATTCCTGCAATAAAAATGGTAAGTATATTTGTAAAATTATATGATTTAAATTAATCTGCATTCAAGGGCGTAATATAACAACTGATTCTCGCTTGTTCTGGTCATATATTAATGCAAAAAATAAAAGTTCACGTATTCCGGGCACTATGTTGCTTGAAGATGAATTTGCCAAACCTAAAGAAATAGTAGATAAGTTTAGTAAATTCTTCGAAAGTGTTTTTGTAACATAATCGGAGCCAAAGCAGGATAGGGCTAGTTTATCACAATTTTATGGTGACACCATTAAGAGCAAACCGAACACCTTGAAAAACTAATAATAAGGGGAAGAGGTGGTAGATTCGGCTATGGGGTAGATTAGTCCATCTTATCCTATACTTCCCTCATTTGTATCTACCGCCAAACTTTAGCATATTTTAATGCAGTTTTCTTATGTATAAGAAGTGTCACAAGTTGTGTGTGCAGCAATTTTGTTTTAGAAGTTATAATACATTTTCACTATAGTCTATTTTTATTTATGAGAGAGTATTAAAATAATAAAGCGTTCGTAATCCATAGGCGTATCACTTCTTTTAGTAGACAGTTAAAATATTTTTTGAAGTTATTCCTCGAGTATACACTTATATTTTCACCTAATTAACCTGCTTATAACTTCTAAACAGCTGAAGGTTAAAAAAGTGCAATTTTTTCTAAAATGTTTTATTTTTCCACAAGGTATTTAAGAACATTGTGTCAAACGGGTTATGTAGGTATAAGGGTTTAAACTTTGACTATTAAACAACGTTACGTTCATAATAAATAATTTTAATATAAAAACTACTTCTTACCTACAAATCCAAATCAGAAGATGAACTGTCGCAACCAATATTTACAATGAGTGGCTCGATCATTTCATCAGTAATATTGTCCAACTTCCACATTTTCTCTTCTTTAATCGTATGATTTACTGCCTTTTCCCAGTTTTCAGGCTTCACATTATTTACAGCCTCCAAAAACAACTGTTTAACATCACTCATTTTAAAAGAATTATTTTTTCTTGAAACTTCTCCCTTTATCTGTGCCCATATCAGTTCAATCGGGTTTACTTCGCAATGATATGGTGGTGTTCTAACCACCGTCATCCCACGATTTTTTGCAATTTCATCAATTTCATATTTTTTGAATTTCTCTTTATGAAGGGAACACAAATGATACAGTTCTTTTCTCACAGAACTGGGATGGAACTTAATATTCTTTGAATTTAGCCAATTCTGTAAATCTTTTTTTAACCACTTGGTTGTGGGCATTTTTTTTATAAGTCTCGAGTGATAACTTGCATTATCCATTACTATTATACAGTTCTGAGGAAGAAGATCTATAATTTGTTCGAACCACTCTTTAAAGACATCAGCATTCATGTCCTCATGGTAGTCACCGGTACGAGTAGATTCAAAAGTCAATAAACCACCTTTAATAAAACCGTTTGAACTACCGATGTTTACTATTATTAGTCTGCGCCCCTTTCCTGATGGTGGATTTAAACCAGTAGATAAATTATTTAAAAAAGCCTGTCTTCGACTTGTAACAGTTTCATCTTGCCAAAATTTATTTGGTTTATGTCCCTCGTTGATCCATGTTTCATCTATATAAAATATATTTCTTCTTTGGTTTCTCATTTCTTTTATAGTCCTTAGGTAATTTCTTCTCCATACTACAATATCGCTTCTTTCTATTAAAATAGACTTTCTGGAATGCTTTTTCCATAGAAAACCTATTTCTTTTAAAAGTTTCCATAGTGTGCTTCGACTCATTTCAGAGTAATCCTTATCATCTCGAACCGTGGCAAGAACTTTGTCTACTGTCGGAAATTATTTTCTAAAGAAGAACGCATGCACTTTCCTTCGAAGTCTTTCTTTCAAAAGATTTTCTAATTGAAATTTTGGTTTTCCTGGAGCTTTACGTGCTGTTTGAAACTCGCCACATTTCTCTTCTTTAACAACTCTGTAAATCGTAGATTTCCCAACATCAAGCGTACTACTAACTAATTCCACTATCATCAACACTTTTACATAAATGTTTGTCTGTAAATGATTTAAAACAAATATTAATGTTTTTTCAATTACTGTTAAAGGACCGATTTTTTGTCGTTTACGCGGCCCTTCCAAATTTTCCATGATCACACTAGAATTCACACTGCACCTTGCATTTTGCAACTAAACGACATTTAGTAAACTGTCAAGAATACACAACTTGGACCTCCTTACTAAATGGAAAACCTATAATCGCATTTTCGGTGAAATTTGTTGGGAAGGTATTTATCTACTTATAATTCGATTACTGTAAGAAATTCTTGGAATTAAAATAAAACAAAATTGGCAAATAGGTACTTATTGAAAATAATCTTAAGATACGGCTATGTAATCTTTAATACACAGGGCTTTTGGCCTCTCCAAACCTTTTTCTATTGTTCTGTACAGCTTATGTTTATAAAGGACCAATAAAAGACCCAAAACTTGTAATAGCTCAGGTACATTTATTACAATTTTAGGAAATATTTAGATTATTCTGTAAAAATATTTAAAATGACCGTACTAAGTTTTGCATTAGAAATGCTGTTTTATTACTCTCTCATACACAAAAATAGACTATATTAGAAGGTAAGTTTTTTCACCTACTATAATGAGTTCATAATTTCAAATTTATAAAGTATATTAAATTAAAAAAAATACAGTGTATATAGTTAGTAGTTCTTCTTCTTTTCTTTTTTTGGGCTATGTTAGTTAGTAGTTCTTCATAAATGATTTTAATACGAAATCTAACCTCAAATATTGATTGTTATTTTTAATTTAATTTCAATGCTCAAATGTCATGTGGGGTAGATTCGGCTGAAGTGGTCGGGGTACATTCTGCCAGGTGGCCGAAAGTACCCCCATCAAAGGAATATAACGTCTACATATTATTAACTGAAATTTTTAGAAAATTTCATATTATATTTTTTCAGAGGCCACGTACATATATCTGCAAAACCAACCGGCGGAACATAGACGAGAATACTATGAAGGAAGCTATTGGTAATTCTTTAAGAAAAGTGTTGAGTGTCCATGAAGCTGCAAGGCGGTATGGAGTGAAAAGATCTACATTGCAGTCAAGAATAAAAACCTTGTTAAATAAAAAAACAGTAGATGAAGTCTTATCTACCATTGACAGAGATTCTGGATCTGGAAATGAAAGCCGTGATGAAAAAAATAAATACAGTAGTAAATAGGTACACTGTTAAACAAGTTTTCACAATATCTCAGGAAAGGGAGCTTGTGGAATATATTAAGAAGTCATCTAATTTAAATTACGGATTGTCATAACAATAAATACGAAAATTAGCCTACGAATATTCACAAATGCTGCCAGGGTGTCGGACACCAGTCAATTGGAAAACAAATGAGTTAGCAAAAAAATATCATAGGTGGCTTTGAAACTTCAGACATTTGGCCTCTTAATAGGCTTGTATTTAACGATGAAGATTTCATGCCGAGCACAGTGACCGAGAACTCCAGTGATAAAAATAACAATCTAGTTAGTGAAGTGGAATTTGTTGCCATTCTTTCAACTTCCAAACAAAATAAGTGCAACCGAAAAGAAAGAGAACAAACCATCCCTCCTCCAGCTACTAGATGTCATGATGATAATAACATCAGCTTGGAAGAAAGAGAATCCGAGACAACACCATCTTCAAAAGAAAAGGAATTCGTTATAACACCTTCTTTTTCTGAAAGAGCCACACTTGAGGTCAATGTTCCAAAATCACTTGAAGAATTGAGACCGTATCCTAAGGGAGATGGAAAAAAGAAACGGAAGAGAAAAATTGTATCAAAATCTTTTATATATACAGATATCCCGGAAATGCTAATGAAAAATCCATTGAAATAGAGAAACAGAGGAAGGAAGAACTAAAAAAAATCGAGAAGCTAAAAAGGTCAATGTTCCAAAATCACTTGAAGAATTGAGACCGTATCCTAAGGGAGATGGAAAAAAGAAACGGAAGAGAAAAATTCCATCAAAATCTTTTATATATACAGATACCCCGGAAATGCTAGTGAAAAATCCATTGAAATAGAGAAACAGAGGAAGGAAGAACTAAAAAAAAATCGAGAAGCTAAAAAGGTCAATGTTCCAAAATCACTTGAAGAATTGAGACCGTATCCTAAGGGAGATGGAAAAAAGAAACGGAAGAGAAAAATTCCATCAAAATCTTTTATATATACAGATACCCCGGAAATGCTAATGAAAAATCCATTGAAATAGAGAAACAGAGGAAGGAAGAACTAAAAAAAATCGAGAAGCTAAAAAAAAGTTGTTTCTAAATAAACCACCGCCAAAGAGAATTTTGGATGAGAGCTCAAGTAATTCAGACACGTCAATAGAACTTGCTGACACCTCTGATGGAGAAAGTTTTTTATCTAGTTCAGATGAATTGCCTTCTCTTGCCAAATTACCGAAATGCAAAGATTATAGTGTGGGAGATTTTGAATTAGTAAAATTTGCCACAAAGGTAAGCATTTGCTATTGGGCATATTTTAGAGAACACAAACGATACAGAATATGAAATCAACTTCTTAAGACGAAAAAATAAATCAAACACAGTTATACATCCTCAGGTAGAAGATATAAGCAGTGTGAATAAAAATGATACAATCACATTGATGTCACAAGCAAATAAACCGTCAACAGCAAGGACGTCATCCTTGTACACTTTTAATTATAAAAAAAGAATTATTGAAATCGGACACCGTGTTAAAAAATTATCGCTGAACATACATAAAAAAAAATATCGCGACGAATTGAGAACCTCCTTCTTTTTTGAAGTCGTTAAAAACTGAGCTTAATTTTAAGTAAGCTTTATATAATCAGCCCTAAGTGTATTGTTTTCTGTACCATTTAAGGTCTTCTTTATTTAAGGGAAAAGACAAAATCGATAAGTATTATAAAAAATGGAACAAGTAAGTAAATATTAAAATGTGAACTTTTAAAAGTTTATTGATTTTCAA